TCTGTCTCCCCCCAACCCGCTTGCCTTCTCTTGGAATCCAGTTAGTTACCCTTAACGACCCGCGGTTATCCTGTCTACGCGCTACATGCCCGGCGCATGTCCATTTCTCCTTCTTGATTTCAGCTATGATATCCTTAACCCCCGTTTGTTCCCTAATCCACTCTGCTCTCGTCTTGTCTCTTAAGGTTACACCTACCATCTTTCTTTCCATTGCTCGCTGCGTCGTCCTCAATTTAAGCTGAACCCTTTTTTAAAGTCTCCAGGTTTCTGCTCCGTATCTAAGTACTGGCAAGATACAGCTGTTATATACCTTCCTTTTGAGGGATAGTGGCAATCTACCTGTATTACTTTGAGAGTGCTTGCCAAATGTGCTCCACCCCATTCCTATTTTTCTAGTTACTTCAATCTCGTGGTTCGGCTCCGCGGTTATTACGTGCCCTAAGTAGACTTATTTTTTTACAACTTGAAGTACACTATTACCTATCTCGAAGCGCTGCTCTTTTCTGGGGTTGTTGTATATTACTTTCATTTTCTGCAGATTCATTTTAAGATCCACCTTTCTGCTCTCCTTGTCTAACTCCGTAATCATGAGTTGCAATTTGTCCCCTGAGTTACTCAGCAATGCAATGTCATCGGCGAAGCGCAGGTTACTAAGGTACTCTCCATTTTTTTTATTGTAACTTCATCTATGTAACAAAAACTTCGCAAACACTTGTTTGCGTATTAACTCGTATCCCTAACTGTTCCCATTCTAGGCTTCTGAAAACCTCCTGTAAGCACGTGGTAAGTAGCATTGGGGAGATTGTGTCTCTTTGCCTTACACCCTTCTTGATTGGTATTCTGTTGCTTTCTTTATGAAGCACTATGGTAGCAGTTGATCGCCTGTATATTTCTTCCAGGATGTTTTTATATACTTCATCGACGCCCTGATTCCGCAGTGTCTGCATGACGGCTGATATTTCTACTAAATAAACGCCTTCTCGTAACCTATGAAGGCTATGTATAGAGGTTGGTTATATTCTGAGCATTTCTCTATTACCTGATTGATAGTATGAATGTGGTCGATTGTTGAGTAGCCTGTTCGAAATCCTGCTTGTTCCTTTGGTTGATTGAATTCTAATGTAAGGCGTAAGGTATCCGATGTAAGAAGGTATAACATGGAGAGAATTGAACATGCCCTGAAAAACGGAGGAAGCGTCAAAGCAGTGAAGAGGAAACTTGGGATAGGCGAAAATCGGATCTATGCACTAAAGGACAAAAAAGGCAAAGTAACTATCAATATGGATAGGATAGTTAAAATAGCGGAGGAGTTTTACAGAGATCTGTACAGTAGCCGGGACAACCTCGGCTTTAATACTATAAGAACTAGCAGTAACCCAGGTGACACCCCAACAGTAATAATAGAAGAAGTCAGAAAAGCTTTGGAGAGCATGCAAAAAGCAAAGCTGCTGGTGAGGATCAGGTAACATCAGATCTTCTGAAAGATGGAACAAAAATTGTGTTAGAAAAACTAGCCACCCTGTTTACGAGGTGTCTCCTTACGGGAAGAGTACCAGAGTCTTGGAAGAACGCTAACATCTTCTTGATACATATTAAAGGAGATGACAAGGACTTGAAGAATTACAGGCCGATTAGCTTGCTCTTTGTAGTATACAAGCTATTTACAAAGGCAATTGCTAACAGAGTAAAGCAAACATTAGAACTCAATCAACTGGAACATGCGTATTAGCAACTACAGAAGCTTATATGAAGCACTGATGCTCGCGAAGTTGTTGGCTCCGGACACTGCTACATTATTCATCTTCAGGGCAGGGCGCCTAATCACAGTTGACGTTAACCCAACGTGACGACTGTATCAAAGAAGTACATATGTAATGTTTATAAAATTGGCTAGGTAGCACTGCAACCACTATTGAAGTTTCACTAAAATAAGCGTCTATTTGAAGAGCAGTTCCGAGACCTGGCGTAGCTCTGTGGAAAAATGCCTCATTGCCACACATAATTCTTTCTTTCAATTTAAGCTGGGACCTTGATATTCATCATTTGCCATCGTCAAGTGGATGCTCCCAGCTACGGGTCTTAATTACCGCTCACGCGTTCAATTTCCCATGTGTGTTGTCGGCGTTCCTTGGTACATACTAAAGGCGCATTCACACTTTGCCTCGAAAAGAGCGAAACCGGTGAAACTTTGTAGAAACTGGCTCGTTTCGCCGCCCAAGTGGCCGGAAAACCATGCCACGAAGTTGGCGCGAAAAATTCTGTCCGAGCGCGATTTTCCCGCCACGCGAAGCCAGATCCGGTTTTCGTTTCATAGACTTGGCTGCGCTAGATCAAGCCACGTGACCTAACCAGCCAGTCGCAGATTCAACATGGCGGCACAGGCGTCGGTGGTGACTCACATCGGCTGAAATAAAAAAATACTCGTGCAGCATGACGAAGCTTGATGGCCTCAACGAGGGCGCGCTCATCGAGTACCTGACTTGGATTACGATCACCGAGAACTGTGGAAGTAGACGGTGCAGCGGCAGCGAGTCCACACGCCCCTGCGTGTCTCGCGTTTGTGTAGAGCCAGCTGAATGCGCCGCCACCACTGCCGGAGCGTTCGCTTGTGTCGTTTTTGCTGGTTTATCTCCCAAAACAACGTTTGAAAAGGAGCGAATAGTTTATTTTCACTACTTTGCGTGGATAACTAGAATTTGGTACGAACTTTAGTTCTCAAAAAGCAGGCGCAATCGAATTATTTGTCAAGGTATCCACGGCAGCGGCGGCGGTACGGGGCAGAACTAAAGTGAACATCTTCGACGAATGCGGTCGTCGGTTTCCGGCCACTCTAGCGTTTTCGTTTTTCTTCAACTCTCAAGTGTGAACGCGGCCAAAGTGTCAATCACATGTGGCACACACCCGCATACCAGCGGCAGGGGGAGGAGGGTAAACAACAAGAGGGAAGGCAGGGAGGTTAACCAGGCACATGCCCGGTTTGCTACCCTACGCTGGGGTAATAGGAAGGGGGCCTAAAGATGAGAGAGAGAGAGGAAAGAGAAGAGAAAGAAAGAGAAAAAAAAGGAGGATTGTCAGTCAATCGGCTGGCGCGCATGCAGCGGTGGCACTACACAAAACCTAAAGGTGGTCACTTAGGCCTGTAGTCCTCAAAAAGCAGCAGATACCCGTCCGTGGATATGGGCCACGATCTCACGGGATGTGTTAGACGATGTACGTGACGGGATTTTGACATTATTTATGTCTTGACCAGCGCGTCATATTCGTCAAAGCATGTTAATCTCCCAAGCTAATTTTGGTTCACGCCAAGTTGAGGGGGTGCCCGCGAGAGCACCCAAACGTAAGCGCCTAGATAGATAGATAGATAGATAGATAGATAGATAGATAGATAGATAGAAAGATAGAAAGATAGATAGATAGATAGATAGATAGATAGATAATAGATAGATAGATAGATAGATAGATAGATAGATAGATAGATAGATAGATAGATAGATACGGTCAAAGTCTCCGAAGTTTGCTAAAAATGCTTCGCATTTAAAACATTGTTCCTTGCCGCGCCTGTTTGTAGTTGTGAGGTGAGCCTTCGTTGTGTCTTAGTAAATCACTTGCTCTGTAGGTTTTCCAACTCTTGCAACAATTTCGTTTTTTCCTGATACCACGTCCGGCTTTTCAGGTACATCTTCCTAGGCTGCTCACGCTCAACAAGAGCTACAACATAGCAATTCACAAGTCTGATTCCTCCAATTGTCCCCACTTCGTAGTTTATTCGTTAACATAAGAAATAAATTTGAAAACATGATTCCGAGTCCTGCAGTTTATTTTGCCTGGTCACGCATATCACAGTCACGCATTCTAGTTGTATACCTCGTACAAACATGTAAAGCAGGTTTATTCGAACTGTTGAATAGATATCACAGACTGACATTTCGCGCTTTCTTTGTTACTGTGATTAAAATATTGTCTAGAATTGTACTATTTTCTTTGCAGTTCTGCGCACAACTGCATGTATTATTGGACTTCCCTAAATCAAACACTCTACTCTTTATAACATAAGTTCTGCAAAAGTAGAGCCTATATGAAAGGAGTAACCTGAAATAGTTGTGGCTCACTTGACGCTTTGGTGTGTGCCATTTGACCTTTGCAGGAGTGTTAACACCAAGATTCATCTGACTCCCCAAGATGCGTTAATATAATCTGTTGCATTATAGTCACTTCACTCTTCATAAGAGGGTCAAAGTCCACATCTAGAACGTGCTGAGCCTAACCCACCAAGAGAGTCAACCTGTCTCTTTAAAGATAGCTGCAAATATATACGCACAAGTCAGAAGACTCCGAAAAATGTCCCACCTTTAGTTTTTCTAGTGTACTACAAAAATTCACCGAGCATTCCAATACCGCCTAATGTGAATTCTGAGCCCTGCTTGTGCTGAGGCAAGGCCGAAGGCACTTGCAGTTGTGGCTTTCCTCGACGTATCGAATACTACACAATTCAGAGTTTTTTCACCAGTATGATGCGCCCCACTGCGTCATTATTTGTCTTCCTGTAGATAAGTGAAGTACCTGGTAAACCTATACAGTTTATTATGTGCACTTAGCTGATGCCGCGTGTGTCTTATGAGTAATGACCATGAAGCATTACGGCTGAGAACTTTTCAGTATGGGAGAAGCATCAAACGACGCTTTCATTGCGGAATGATCCTTCTGTGATGACTAGTGCCTGTTTTAGTCTTCTGCCACGATATATTGTTACGTTTGAAAGAGACTGGTAGACGTTGAAAGGGGCCGTTTATTAGGTCGTGAGGGGCAGCTCAGAAGCGGCCGACTGGTTAAAGATCCTCCTGATCCTCTTCTTCTTCTTTCGCTCTGGGCGACAAGTGCGTTCAGCGTATGCGCTTCTTTGTCTCCGTGCGTGTACGCAACAATAATACACAGGTTTGCGTGATTGCTTTCCCAATATGACGCCTGTATAGGGTCTTCACTAAATCAGTTTCAAGCACTGGTGTAGCTTCTCAGTAGAATCCTCGGCTACTACGCCAAGAGCCCACGTTCAAATTTAATTTCATCCTGGGCAAATCTATCAGTAACACCACTGACGGCAACTTGAAAGACGACGCCTATCAACGCAGAAACAGCTACCTAGATGCTGTACACTAGAATATCCAGTATCTTTTTGCACGAAACTTGCTTTCTTTTCCCTCCACCGTGCAAGAACATTACTACTTACATGGCAACAATTCACAATTGTTACATGGGATCAATTCAATGATTGTGCCTTACAGCTCGCGAAATTGACCACATAAGGTTCCATTTAGTTGCTCCTTAATAAAGTGAAAATCATTATAAGAGCAAATGGCTGGATTCTCAACAGGGCGTTACAACAGTATTGTAAAAATCTGACTGCTGTTAACACGGCCGCCCATTGAGAAAATTTAAACAATTATACTTGCCTGAGAAGTTCATTACCTGCTAGAAAATGAAAGGCACCTTCGTTTCAGACGCACCTGACAGCTGTTCAGGTGGGCTCACGTTGGCACGCGCATGTGCTTACTTTAATTCGATTTCGCACGAAAGACCACCTGATTTAAAAAATGCCGGACGACGGTGATGAGCAGCTCATTTTTCCCCCATGCCATAACGCTCTGGAATGCGCTGCCGGATAATGTTGTTTCTTGCAGGAACCACTCAACATTTCGCGAAAAACTAACTCCTTTACAAAATCCAAATACAGTGTCCTAACAGCCCATTAACCTTTGCGTTTATAGTTGTTTTAATGTACTCCCAAAATTTATTTAGAGCCTATCATATTTTTTCTTTGTTTTGTTATGCGTGTTATTTCCGCTTGTGTTCTTTATTTGCTTATTCATTGTAATTAGTGTGCACCCTAATATTGTTACATTGCTTAGAAACTTGCAACCTAGATGTATGACCCCCCCCCCTTATGTAATGCCTTCAAGCCCTTAAAGTTGAATAAATGAAATGACACGAAATGAAATATATAACGGGAAGTAAAACGCCTTCTGCCTCGTATCAGTGTCATACTCTAAGAAGGGTCACTAAATTTAGCGTTCCAGTGAGTAGATGACATTTGTACCTCATCTAGTCAGTTATTCAAATTGTGTTTCCTCAACTAAAGTTAGGTAGCTAATACTATGCATTATTAAACAGCTAGGATACCTACAGATTCACTTAGAGTGCACATTTTCGCGGCCAGTGAATGAGCGGTAAAAAGCGTCAGTAGTCCAAGCAGCTTATAACCTGTTTGGAGTAGTCCTATAGTGTCTAGTTTGTGTTCATGTCAAGCTAGATTATACCATTACCCTATATGTCCAGATCTCAGATTAATAGGAAAACGATTGTTATCTTGTACACAGTAAAATTAAGACAAAGGTGGAAGGCTTCTTCGGTCAAGTGTCGACCCGGCTGGCCTGATCATCATTTCAACAACCGGGTAAGAATAGTGGTACAGGCGAGCTGGGCCGTTTCGCACACTCCATTCGATTCCGTCTGCGTAGCTGTCGTGTGGTCCGTTGAGGTTCAGACCATTTAGGTTCGCTGCATGACACTGGCTGTACCACCAACCACCCCGATACAAGACCGCGCAGTTTGCAGCTCCGGAATCGTTGTCGCGGTCATACGTGGAGAAGTTTTGGCCATTGGCATGAACCATTGCATCCCAACCTGTGATAAAAGGCAAAAATCAGCTGGTGTAGTAAATTACTGTAATTACTTACTATATATATTTATGTTATATTAGGTAATAGGTTCTACCACACTCTTGGGCATTCATATCAATTCAACAGTATTTTAAAGCGCAGTTCATGAACCAATATTGTACAAAAGCATTTGCGCAACTATGCTAAATTGTTTGACGTTGAAAACTTTGCAGCAGAATGACACGAAAATGTTACCCGAGCATTGCAGAACGAATTTTAAGTATAAAGTCTTTCCAAATTGCATTAGCGAGTCATGCATGGGCTTCCTCTAGGTTTTTATCTAAATGTCAAAAATAGAACGTAAGTTTGTCGCTAGCTTTCTTGTAAAAGTATTATCTTCAAACTACTGAAACTTTAATACTGTACAGCGCATATATTATCATGTTTCAGAATATGCTAGAAGTGTGCGGAATACTCGGTTAATTAGTAGGCGTTCAATAAATGAGAGATGGTGGCAATGTGAATTACGGACAAAACTTGTAGGTATCATTCTAACGCCGATGGTCAAATAAAGAAAGTTGCCCTGATAATCTAAAACCAAACTCCTTCCTGTTACATTTTTGTTAGTGTCGTGGTATTTTGCAACGTTTTGACTACACAACAACATTTTTAACACTTTAATACTTGTTTCAACTGACGTAACTTCATTCTTGTGACCAAGCAGGAATGATGCGAAGGGAGGTATGTAGTTTTTTTTTAACTTAGACTGATTATGGTAGGTAGCATTGTATATTGAGGATATGGTGAGGTTTTCTACATATACACTCGTGCAGCAAGAGAAAAGGAATATTATGGCGTAAGAGCACATATTTCAGGACCTTGTTATTTTTATCACACAGACAATGTGTTAAGTAAAGATGGGATAGAAATCAACTTCCTAGGTAGAAAACGCATTTCAAAAAAGTATACTGCTGTCTGGAATCAAAAGGTCTGCACTAATGTTGCCATGAGATGCAGTGTTAATAAGATTACGTCCCTTCTACACTATAGTCTTCTTATAGAGCAGTAGAAACGCTCCTGAGTTGGAAAGTACAGTGTTACTCTTATTCAAAAGGAAAGAGTTCATTTCAGTTTTCGTTCTATGACAGCATTGCTGAAGATAATGTATTATTGTCAGGATTCTATTTTGGTAACAGAATCCCAAAAACCAAGCTCGATGCAAGCCGTAAATGCGAACGAAGCTTCCCCGGTGGAACTTTGTTGATATCAAGAACTGGATGCTGTTGCGGGCGATATGACTAAAACACTAGAAATGTTCTTCTAACGCTACACGCTCAGATTATCAGGGTTGAATGAGCACTCCAGGGGAAGATGGAAGAAACTATCTTACCTTCTGGACCAAGGAACTTTCCTACTTGCAGCTTGTAAAGATTGTCTTCGTTCGCAACACTTACACTCTCGTATTCTACGGAAGCACTGTCTGCAGTGTTATTCTTCAGCAATATTCTAAGAGACATCTCAGCGTCATCCGACGTGAGTGCATGTAGAGCATTGTTTCCTGCGAAAAAGACACTGCCATATTATTTGAGTGCCCTAACACGTCTTCCATGAATTCCAACCATTGGCACCTCAAGTATAATAGCGTCACGCGCCAGTGCACATGGTTACAAACGAAGACAACACTATATGTCCTTCTGAGTCTTTGCGTAAATGCGTATTGTGCTGAGAGTTTGCATGCGTGTGTGGATATGCATGCATTACGTGCATTAGTTTCTGAAGTATGATACGTATTGAAGTAATCAAGAGAAACCAACAAGCAAGATTCTCCCATGCAAGCACATTGAAATGGTATTCACTACAAGAGGCCTATAAAGAAGCGGTCCACAGAGATTTATTTTGTGACCCGGCCATCGGATGTCTGTCTTCGTCCCATATTCAAAAGAAAGATGACTAAGTAACTTTAGCAGATCCGCAAATGTGACTGATATTTTGTGAGGTACCACATGAGTCTATATGCTTTGAAACGTATGCCCTAGGAACGAAAAAATTCATCGATGATTACGGTACTGCCCAATGCAAAATAAGAGCGCAGATACGTGTTGACGCAAGGTCAATAGTGCTTTGTAGCTTGGCTTTCCGCAAGGTAACGACTATGACCTAAATCGTAATTTTGTGAAGTTGGACAGCACTTACTACGCATTTATTCGGCTTTCTGCGGATAAGCGACGTTCCACTACTTGTCTAGATGTAAGATATGTGCGCTTTGTTGATGGCACGAAGAGCTAATGACGATGTGGAATTACGGATGAGCGCTTTTCACTGCGTAGCAACGACTTAACCACGCAATTGTGGTTTCATTCGCCTTGCTTGGTCACTGGTTGGTTACTCTTCTGCCACGCTATGTCACATGGGTTCCTATGATTCCATGCCTGACATGTCACCTTCATAGGATCCTTCTGTAAATGTTTTTCAAGAACCAGCTTGCCTTCTGGTGGAATACTCGTCTTTCACGCCGAGATTCTGGGTTGAAATCAATTGTGGGCATTTCATTCCCAATATATTTGCTGTTTTCGCAAAATTTCGCAAATTTGTTTTCGCAAGATGTTTTCGCAAAAATTTAGGCATTGGCGTGGAAATATCACGCAACTACTGAGATCAATAAAATCAGTCAACATCCCGTAACATCTTTTGACGTGACTAACGGTAATATGATGTGACACCTTATGACTTGAAATCTTCTGGTGCTGCAGCACGTAAGAACTACCCGGGTGTAAGGTCGCGCTTGGCATGACATCCCCCGCACCCTTCCTTCTTAGTAACACGCCTTCCAAAAAAACGGGGCCGGCTCAGCGTGAAACCCCTTTCCTCGCTTGCCTGACGCATTCCCGTGAAACGGTCTCTCAGCTTCCTCTGCCTCCCGTACTCTTTCCAGGAAACTGACTGTCTGGTGTCGACGGGGACAACAGAGAACGAGGACGGGGGGATAAAGGGAGCGCCCGAGAAAAAGCGAGGGTCTTTAGCTGAGTAGATAGTTTGCCGGCTAGACACAGGCGCGACGCTTTAGGTCCCACTGCGGGTCATACTTTTGCTGCCTTTTGAAATGTAGTCAGTTCTGTTCATAAAGTTGTGTTAGTGAAACGTCCAGATACAAAAGCGCCTTTCTCTGGGAAAAATTCATAAATACGGCAGCGATCATCCTCGCGAAGCAACGAACCCGGCTTTGCTTCGCCAAGAACCTGGTCCGAACCATATACCGAGTTCAGACGAAAATTTACTTTGGCTTTCTAAAATCATGTAAAAACTGGCCACGTGCCATGCTTCCACCGAAGCTCACCACAGCTAGCTACATGGCTAACTGGCATCACTGATTAGTCATGACTAGGCAAAAACTAAAGATGCAACTAATATCTCGTAAATTAGTGAGAGTAGTGATAGCCCATCACAGCTAGTCAGGTCACATAACCCCTGATAATCAACGTAGAAAAGTTCACATGATAATAAGTCATGTGTGCCTTCACAGCTTGATTGATTGATTGATATGTGGGATTCAACGTCCCAAAACCACCATATGATTATGAGAGACGCCATAGTGGAGGGCTCCGGAAATTTCAACCACCTGGGGTTCTTTAACGTGCACCCAAATCTGAGCACAAGGGCCTACAAAATTTCCGCCTCCATTGAAAATGCAGCCGCCGCAGCCGGGATTCAATCCCGTGACCTGCGGGTCAGCAAGGCGAAGGGCCTTAGTCCCTTCGCAGTTGGTGACATGCCATATTTCCGCAAACATTTGCCCCTAGGTGTTACCGCCCTTCGAGCTAAACACGACGGGCCAATGAAACTGTACAAAGTCTCGGGTGACCTAAGGAACGAACATCATACGGTGACGTCGCTATGCACCGTTATCACGGCGTTATGCTGTAAGGTTATTCTCTGACGTCATTAAAACGTCATTACAAGAAGCGACTGATGAAATCATGAGTTAGCGTTGTCACTTCATGTTCAAGGTAATATCATGGAGAGAAAGTGCAACAGCAAGCTCCGTGCAGCAAATTTCATTCGGGAGTACAATGCAGTGAGCTTAACAGTAGTGCAAGACATTGGGCTCGCTGGCTTTCGTCAGTTGTAAAAGAGCAGAAAATCGTAAGATTGAAAAGATTGTTGACAATTGTCACATCATTGTAACACGTGCAACGGCGCTGCCATATTGATTGGTGCTTCTAATTTATCAAAACACCCAGATAAAACCACCAGAGAACTGACAAAGGCCTTTGAGAATAGGAAATGTGAGGGAAAATGCGTGAGTGCGCCCTCCATCACGTTACAAGAAGCAGAATTATTTTGATCCTATCAGCACTCTTAGGGTGTAACTAAAGCCCCTTGTTTACCTTCATGAATTTTCTCTTTTCATTTTCCGCCCTTGCGAGAGTCGTCAGATCATGTGACAAGTTATAATATATATATATATATATATATATATATATATATATATATATATATATATATATATATATATTATATATATATACGCGTAAGTGTGTGTGTGTGTAAGCTTTTCTTTCTTATTAAACCTAGTTGTACCACTTGTGTTGGTCCTACATGTCTTTTTTGAAGCATCTGTGCACGTGGCACATTCTGTCAAGAAACAAGAAATTGACTAGGAACGTCAAGGCCATTTATTTTGTGCCTCTTATAGCGCGTAATTATGCGTAGCAATACGTCTCATCCCAAATTGGATGACATAGTGCATAGTATTATTTGAAGCGGACTTTCACCTCGAAGTGTCCCACAAATCCTAATGTTCCTGCTGCAGAACCTTGCGTCACATTGCCGAAATGACGTACATATGACAAAGAACGATATACTCAGTAGTGCTTCCTTCGTCATACGCTGGTATATAAACAATATGGCTGCGAGCAAGCAACCTTCGGCTCTTGTACATTGCGATAACAGCGAATGGTACACAACCCCAAGTGGTCGAAATTTCAACAGCCCTTTACTACGGCGTCTCTTAGTGCCTGAGTCACTTCGCATTGTTCAACCACATAAACCAACCAACTTACTCACCACTTGGGGCGCTTATCTAATATTTTGAGCAAAGCAAGAACATTTACTCGAGAGAAAACGAAGTGGATAGATAGGAAAAATCAAGCACATAATGTCTTATGCACTTGCTTAGGCAAAATCTGTCTACATGTTTATCGATCTTGAAAACAAACTATATCGTAGTGCCCTCCCAATGTCCCTCACCAGGTACATTGTCAAGAATATATAACATCTGAGAATGAATTAGAGGCTTGATACTCAAATTCTCAAGTCGTGTTAGTCAACTTTATCACTCAATGTTTATAGCGACGAGTTCTAGTTCACCACCTGTGTCATGGGGTTACAGGTTGACGTCTAGGATATTGCCTGCGCTTGCCATGTAAATGAGCATACTTTATCATCGTTGTCGAAGACGTACCTAGAAACTTGAGAGCCAGCGCATGTGTAACCGTTCGTAAGTCAAAAACACTTTCTAGTTGAATTCGTTTCAGGGACCGAGTTTGTTATTTGTAGGCGCACAAGCGGGTAACCAACGCGCGTAAAGCCCTGTAGCGCAAATGTAGAAGAACGAACCCGATAAAATGGAGAAACAATTTTTTTTGTTTTTTCGAAATGTAGAATCGCGTACATACTACGATAGACTAGAGGTCGTAACACGTTAAAATTGGAGACGGTAATCCTTCAGGCCTTTGTACATTGGAGTCTCGTCGACGCGACTCTGCGAAATGCCTTTTTTTCCCGCCCGACACCTACTCGATCTTATTCCCGGTGAACGTCATTAAATAATATTGCATTTTATTGACTGATGGTAGTACCTACGCCAGCATTCAGAATTCCGGGACTGCATTCAAGTCTTCTAGGTGGCCAAGAGGTAGACTGAATGAGCTGTTGCCAAGACAGCGACCAGCCTCCTACTGCACGAAAGTGCTATTCACGGCTTCATTGGAAACAATATCTCGCTCAGAACTCCATTGGCGCCTTAGCTGCTGAAGAGTGCAAGCTTCCTCCGATAACGATCCCACCCCAGTGAGTTCATCCACCACCTATTCTTTGATCAACATTGACAGTAGCCCTACATGTGGATTATCAGACAGTGCCTCGCAGCTTCGACGTAACATCACGTGACTCCGTGTTACGGTAAACGCCTTGACAGCGTCGAGCTGCGTACTGTTTCTTGTGATCGCGCCGGAAATGTGAATCATCGGTGCCGTGTTCGATTCAGACACCTCACATGACCTTGAGGCAAGCTCAGGTGAGCAACATAGTGTTCCGTGGCAACCTCATGCAGCTGTCAGACCAGCTGGGTTGCTTCACGTCCACCAACTCTGAATTCTCACCATCCATTCCACCATCGCCAACCGCCTGTGAAGTACCAAAGCTCTGTGGCTTTGATCACGACGCTGAACACTGTGCGGTGGCCATCAACGCTGACGGTGCTCACGAAGCTTGGACGGAACTGCAGAAATCAGTGATGGCCGTGGAGCGACTTCGGAATGGTGCTGCGGCGTGGTACAGATACGAAGGCGTGAGGCAGCAGTCCCGGTCGGAATGTAGTGCTGTCGTGATCGTCGCTTTTGGGCGGATTGTCTTATCCTTCCCGCAAGATTAACTCTTCCTCCTGTGACTACGGAGCTCAGGAGGAGCATGACCTTGATGAAGCAACTGGGGTCCCTACCGTCGTGCGCACCCTCGGTCATTAATATCAAAGGCACCGTCACACACCAACGTTGCACCTGAAGGCGTTGGGCTAAAACATATGGAAGATTACACCATCTAATGACGAATGTCTGTCCACGAGGTCTATCAACATCATCTCTCTTCAGGCTGAAGTGGATATGCGTCTGACGCATGCACTGGCAGAACATGAAAGCCTAATGATTTACTGAGACTATTTTTCTGTAGACACCAAGGTCTGACGAAAACGCATGGCTGTGGCGCCTGCCTGATTATTCACCTTTTTCACTCGCATGTGAGTGATTGATATGCGGGGTTTAACGTCCCAAAACCACCATATGATTATGAGAGACGCCGTAGTGGAGGGCCCCGAAAATTTCGACCACCTGGGGTTCTTTAACGTGCACCTAAATCTGAGCACACGGGCCTACAACATTTCCGCCTCTATTAGAAATGCAGCCGCCGCAGCCGGGATTTGACCCCGCGACCTGCGGGTCAGCAGCCGAGTACCTTAGCCACTAGACCAGCGCGGCGGGGCGACACTCGCATGATGCTTGTTATTCTAGTGCGATAACGCGCCTTGCGTGATCTGTTTCGATTTCGCCCGTCAATTTCGATGATGATTATATCAAACTGTATGCTACATTCGTGATTTCTGAAAAATAGGTATGCTGCACATTGTCACGCACTACTACAATATATTAAAACACTTGCCCGCAAGCCAATATTTAAAAAGTTATGTCACGATTATTTTTTGAATAATAACAAAAGTCTCAGGTGAACTGCACCAAAGTATCTCCTCCTCGACAGGGTGTTTGTATGGCAAAAACGGTGGGAGCCTTACTGTGGTAAGATTTGGTTTTTAAAAAAACTGTATTGTTACGAAAAAAACATCCTCAGCATACATGAAGTGGCGGTGAACGAGAGCGAAAAGCACGCCAAAAGCACTCCATGTCTGCAGAACAAATGTAAAACTATGCCAACAGGGCCTTCAGCCTTACTAATGTAGGTATAGGCTGAACAACTCATTTTCGAAGAGGATGTAGCAAGGGGCCCTTACCTATCCAGTGCTCTTCGCTAGGATCCCCGAAGCCATTGGCGTATTCCGTCCAGTTTCTGTAGAAGTGATACACGCTGTTGCCAAACTGACCCCTTCTCTGGATCGTCTGGGGAAAGATATTGCAGCAATAGGCTAGTTCTAACAAAATTGGGATGGCGTTCAACAGTGTATGGGTCAACTAAAGCAAATAAGAAATATGCGCGGTGCATTGACGTTAAGACTAAGCACTAGCATTACAATAACGTGATTCAGTCGCCCTGATGAGTATGGGATCACGAACTGACACACGAACACAGCTATCTTTTGATTTAGGTGATCTGTTTCACATTTGATTGCAGCGATATGATCAATTAAGCGTTTCGTGACCTGTCATGCTTTCAATTAGGTGAGCACGTTACACCCGACTCTATCATATTCCAGTAATGTGTATGAGAAGCCGACTGGCAGTATATCTCAAATAATGACAGGGAATCGCGCAAGGCCACGGTGTAATAAAATTTGCCTTACAACAAAGCAAAACCACCAGTTGCGTGCTTTGTATGCAAGGCCCGTTTCCATTTATTTCATGGCGTTCTTGTGAAGCGCAATTTCTGGTGCACTCGAATAATGAACATCCTAGTAATATATTTCTAAGTTCACTTAGTAGTGCAATAAAAACATTTATTTGAATCAGAGCTTAAGCTGGTAAAGGCTTTGCAAAAGTGATTCTTGTCTCAAAAAAGTGAAGCAGAATGCACAGTTTCTAATAGCTCTGTGCCTACACATAATGATCTTGCCCAAAGAAGCCATATTTACGTTGTATAGTGCAATACTCTGCAGTTATACTCCCACTATATTCACTGATAAGCCATTTGTCCAGTTTTACAAGGAGGAGATGAGTTGTCAAATGAATTTAAAGACGTATTTTTGAAGAATACTGTTTGGCTAATTGGGTACCTACGAACACCAAAAAATGGGCTATAAAATTTTATGAGCATTGTATTTTTGGATATGTCGTTCTGTATTGATTGCGACGTCGTGAATGCACGATACAAATGAATGCATGTAATGAAGCTCTGGGTGTGAGCAAACAAAAATGTTAGTAACATTTATCCGGCTCCTCGGCTTATTTTATTAGACTTCATTATTTAGCTCTTAACTTTCCAGTGTTCAAATTTAAAAACGACATGAGTAAGCACCTCGTAGCTATATGCCATTAAAATGTGTAAATCGGCTTTCCTTACCGTCCAACCTCCACCGTCTGTTGTCATGTCGCAGTAGACCCTCTGCCCCAAGGAACCTGCTGACTTATGAAATATCGTGTACACGCCACTTGTTGTCTGACCAGCATTCAAAAGATCACTGCAATGCCTAGGCTGTACAGTATCTGCATAGAACAAGCACAGTTTTAGGAATTCTTTCTGTATATAAGTTCACAAGAAATTATACATCTCTCACTATTTTTCCGGAGCCCTCCACTACGGCGTCTCTCATAATCATATGGTGGTTTTGGGACGTTAAACCGCACAAATCAATCAATCAATCAATCTCTCACTATTAGCTGAGCATCAGCTCGTATAAATGCGGGTAAAATGAACATAAGCTAAACTTATGGCACCTGTTTATGCAGCATGGTGGCATTATTCATGGTAAACAAAGTAAAACATCACTTCGAATGAATTGCACAACAACGCTGAAATGGCTCGTTTGTACTTCTAAAAGATTTCCAAGAGTAAAAGCCAGACTTTGGGGAACAAAAATAATAAAGAAAGGTCAGTGTGCAGTATAGGCAAATCACTTAACATTCACAAAAACGTTTCGTACGCATATTAGATAAAAATGTTTTAAGTTAACACAAGCTTGCCCAGACCGTTAATAAGCCGCATTCTTCAGCAAACTTCCTTGTGATATGGTGAAAGTGAGATGGTTTAGACGTTGACGTTTGTTTTATTTCTAAGGCTCCACGTGCAAGGAAACCGTCTTGGTAAACTCAGCAGCACAAGAAGTGGGGCACACTAAGGAATCACATGTCTTGTGTATTGAGAAATATGTATGCGTTACAAGTGACGTAAAGGGTCAGCATTAAGGATAGCAAACGTTAGCGAAATCCCGTGAAGCACTCACAGTGGGCTCATACGACAGCGAATGGCAAAGCGAATAAACCTCATTTTATTATACATCGGAGCCACACTGCTTCTTGTCTGATTCCTCAGGGGGGGGGGGGGAAGAAGTGAAAAAGACATGTATAAAGCCTGAAGTCTCGGCAAGTTTTGACTATCTGGTGTTATTTTTAACATTCACTGGCATCGCACAGTACACAGACCATTTCGACGCCATGAAAATGTCACTGCCAGAATGAAACCAGAGACCTTGCTGTCAGCAGCCGAGCATCGTAAGCAATGCTGCTACACCACGTTCTTTGGATCCCTCTGATTGCAATTGAGACGTTACATACACAGTACTTGAGGAGAAATGAATGTACACTTACTTTTAATGTTGTCCAAGAGATGACTGAGTTCTCGTACGTGTTCCTCTGCCTGCTTGATGGATGGACTACCAACAGCTGCTGAATGCACGGTGATCGCTGAAGCGGCGACTAGCGCATAGAAAAACAAAACTTGTCCCACCATTTTGCCTAATGCACGAGACACTTTGATGCCGCTAAGGAAAAAACAAAAAAAGAAGTGAGGTTAAGTATTGTATAATACTCTTAAGCAGGTAATCATGGGGTGACTAGAATACTGTACACCAACGTTCCCTACACGACTGACGCATGACGTATCCGTCCCCCGAAATCTTCTTATCCTGTTGCTTTTTCTTTCGCCGATTGTACTCCTCGACGTCATTCTATACCACAGGCTGCCACGTTTTTTAAAGAAACTCACACCCATTAAGCACTCGCGTCGTATGCTAGCCGCGGCCAATAAGTAAATCAATTTTATTTGCCTATATACAACAGCGCCACGCACCTTTATGGACAAAATAAATTGCGTGTAATAACACTATATGGAAATTCTTTATCAGGTATATGCACTGTAGTTTCACTGACCCATAATGCAGCGCAAGTTTGTTAATGAGAAAAGCGTTGCATATTTTTTTTCTCTAGTCTATTACGTTCCCTTCATTTTATTACGTTAGAGAGCATGTTGACACCACCTGATCCTACTGTTGGCTCTTTACGCATGCGTGGTGGAGTTCTAAGGTATGCCGTGTTTTAATAAACGTAAGTTGTATGTCTAGCCTCGTGCTGTGCGTTAGTTTCTTTATGTGGCACTCACATTCGGAACTTGCTGCAATCTTTTTCATAAAGTACTAACTGGCCCAGAAAAATACATACACACACACTGTACAATCGCAACGCTATATCTACGGCGCCAGATGACCCTAAAGTTATATATTCAATTTATTACAACTTTGTGTGGTAGCATCGCAAATCAATTAGCGGGAAGTCTGAATCGGTGAAAAGAGGGAGACAGGTTATTTTAACTGGTACACGCCTAAGTGTTACCTCCGTGGTCCCCACGTAAACAGCGGCCAGTAAACTTTCGTTCATTCTGAATCCTTGCTTAGGTAATAAAAAGAGGCGTCGCACTCCTTTGTTTTCTTCTGATTCGTCTTCCGTGAATGTAAAGTTCTATTTTTAATATTCTAAATTACAGCCAGCTAGTGTCAAATGGATAACATCGATCTGCACTAGGATGAACTCTACCAATAACTTCCTTGTTTTGTCTTCACAAAGCAAGTTATAATGTGTCACGTCACTCATAATTTACTGCAACAAGACAATAAAGTCACACTTTCAATGTATACATGTGCCTGACTTGCCAGTATGCGCTTTTGTTACCGTGTCTTTGTATTGATCATTGCGAACATAGATATGAACCGATTAAGCCGTCAATATTGTCCTGTTAAACTTTGTGTTACGACTATCACTTGTAGCAAAGCAACTTACTGTTAAAAAGTAACGAAGCTCTTTTTTCTGCCAGAGACGAAGCCTAGTCCTGTGCACTTACCGACTCTCTTCTAGGTGTATTACAATCCAAGTACAGTGGCTCGCAGTAGTCCGGGTAGCAACACACGCTTTAGCAGCGAATGAGGAGGTTCGGCTGGATTTATGTCATTCCGCACGTGGGCGCCGAGGACACGGGTGCGTCTGTCAACTTGCCAACGTCTCACGACGTACCGGAAAACACACCAGTGTTATCGTTTGCTTGCAAAAAACGTCAGCAACCTCAGGCGTGTTTTCCCACTGGCGAAGAGAAACAGGAGCCGGCATTGCAAGCCCGTGCCAACCGAAGGTGAAAGAGCAGGTTATACACCGGCGCCGAAGGATTACGTTTCACGCTCTGTAATGCCGTGTAAGAGGATAAGCGACGACTGTCAGGCTATTCCTACGGGCCTTCTTTCAGGTATGTCTTTTTTTTGTTTCGGTGTGTCGCTACGTCTGTTAGTGTTATTTCTTCAGAGACTACATATAGAAAAAATTTGCAGGGGAGCACCGCCCCACTATTTCACAATGTAAAAGTAATGTAAACTATTGATATCTCCGCTAGTTGGTGCATTTTTAATTATGTAAAAACTAGTCCTTACGGAACTTCTTGGACAAGCAGGCATTGCGCTTTTCTGTATTTGCTCTATTTAGGTAAATTTTGCTGCGTAAGCAAAACAGTGCGCACCGTATGTTGTGCAGCCATCTGCGATAAACTGGTGTGTATACGTTGTCTAGCGTTATCGCTTTGTATCAGGGTAAATTTCATGCACATCAAGATCAAGCATACTGATTTGAAGTATGAATTCAAACCAATGCCCAGAATCATGACATGTTGGCAGAACGGCATTGTCAAATAATCAACTCCTCTTAGTTGCGAATTTCAATTTTATTCCAACAGTGCCGTTAAAGCGCCTTCCTTTTCTCTCTCTACAGAATTAGGCCTACTACGCCACTGAATTTGCGTTCCGGAGGGACGTATCATCATTGTAACACTGGGGTACGAGTAGTGGTACAGGTGACCGGGCGTGCCTCGTAGACTCCACTCGATGCCATCGGCGAAGCTCTCGTGCCAGCCGTTCATGTTGAGGCCATTGAGGTTGGCCGCGTGGCACCTGTTGTACCACCAGGCACCGCGAAATGTTATGGCACAGTTGTCCGGCGCGTTGTCGTGGTCCTGGTCGAACGTTGTGAAGGCGCAGTTGTGACCATCCCTGAGAGCGTCCCAGCCTGCGTATTTAATATATAATTGTTGTAAACTGCCGTACGCACTTCAAGAGAGTGGCGAAGTCGATGATTCTCTGTCGTATACAATATCGGCGGAAAGCATCAATTACCACTATTTTAAGGCAAGCTTGCGGTATTTTAGCCCCACCGAGGTGGTCTAGTGGCTAAGGTACTCGGCTGCTGAACCGCAGGCCTTGGACGGAATACAATCTCCGCTGCGGCGGCTGGATTTTCGATGGATGCGAAATTGCTGTAGGATCGCGTGCTGAGATTTGGTTGCAGAAAACACCAGGTGCTCAAACGTTTCCGAACCATTTACTACTGCAGCGCTCAGAATCATGTGATGGTTTTGAGACGTTAAAACCCTCATATCATTCATTCAATCGATTTCGGGATTTATGTCTTTCGCCTTTCTAGTAGCGATGCGAACGACGCTGCTCTATCTTCAATGTTGTGTCAGCTCACTCACCTTCTCTTTGTCTCGTACTCGAAAAAAAGATTACCTATTACAACATGTTTTTACTGGATCAAATATATGTGTTCAACAGGCAGACCTTCAAATAAAGTAGAACGTGGTAGACACTGAATTTAATTTGTACGCGATTACTCTTTGCATGAGACGAAAAAAAAACATTGAAACATAGCATGCGTGTGACTTGGTGTTTACCCTTTGGTGTAGATTTCGATGTGCGGGTGCATAAAAATAAACAACTGGTGTCGTTACCAAGATAGTGAAAAAACGCCAAACTCATTCTTTAGGTTAAAGTCTCAGAACTACAATATGATTATGATGGACGTCAACATGGCGAGCTCCGTTAATATTGAGCACTTTGGGTTGTTCACGTGCGTCTAAACCTAAGGGAACGGGCCTCGAAGCACTTTGTCTGCGTCTCCAATCCAGCTGAACCGTGTGCTCAGATTTGGGTGCACGTTAAAGAACCCCAGGTGGTCTAAATTTCCGGAGCCCTCCACTACGGTGTCTCTCATAATCATATAGTGGTTTTGGGACGTTAAACCCCACATATCAATCCAATCCAGCTGAAGTGGGCGGGGCTCAACCTTGTCACCTGCGTTCAGTAGTCGAACCCCCTAACCAGTATATTTCTGTGAAAGGCGAAGGCAGACCACAAACATTACGGGACACCAAAGCTTCGCCTTTAGAAGTTGAACGCGATAGCGACAACATGTTGCTTGTGCGTAATTATAACACTTGATTAGCAATGTGCATGAAAACTTTTTCGAATATGCTGTGCATCCACTACGTTGCCTTAAGGGAATAGGCACAGTAGCGTGCGTGAGGTTTGTGATGGGGTGCCAGCTTTCAACACGGAGCCCTTATAATAATCATGTAGCGTACTTGACCCTAAGTAGGAGCGAAAAGAACAAACCTACTTTTCTTGAAGCTTGAGAGAAGACTGCTTTATTTATCACAAATTACAGGCCTCGAAAGGGATATAACACAAAAAGAAGGGTTGCTGCGCATCTCCCGCAGCACACCGGAGATAACCTGAGGTAGGTTTGCCGCATATGCGCCGTGCGCTTCGGCATCTGAATTTTTACGCGCACACAAAAAATAATTGTGGTCACCAGCATCCACTACAACCAGATTTTCAAACGCCCGTTGGCAATGAACGCTTGTACCACGCAATATTTCTGCAATATTTAATGTTGCATTTAAAAGCGCGTATACAGGATGCGTGTGTTTGTCAAGCATCAAAGCTACCTTCACTGCATTTTTAAGCAGAGTAAGCTCTTTTCACTGTTTTCAGAAGCACAGGCATGGCCGTGTTCTAGAACTACCGTTTGCCTCGCAAACGACGAAGGTTCGCTCATTACTTGTACCCAAATCACACTGGTTTAATTCCCAGTCTGCTGCTGGAATTGTTATCATTTCTTCAGTTTATTTTTATTGTTCTCAATTTTACTCCCAACCAACTATTCCGCTAATGACGCTGACGCCGAAATTTCTGCATAACGAGCTCTCTAGCGCAATCGCTTTAATTAACGCACCTACGTATAAAAGGGGACAGTTCACGTTCTCACTATAGCTTCGCTATTATAAATATCAAATTTGCCACTCATTTTTTTATCGCGACCAATTACTGTCAAACAACGCTTGCTGCTAAACCATGGCTATACGAGGGTACATAGGGCCTGCTTCGTCCTGTCGACGTGTTGCAACGAATTGTGGTTGTCGACCCTGAAATGGGGGCTTGTTTCAGTAAGGACGTGCCCTCGAGAAGTTACCACAGTTTGGCGTCCGTGGTCCTTGGCGAGGACCTCTGCTGTTATCAGCACCGGAACGATGTCTGCTACACATGAAAGGGCGTAGGTAACCACGTTGTCTTTCCCGCTGACATGTTGGATATCAGTGGTGAACTGCGGGTATCTTTAAGTAGGTCTTCACCAAGTCGAGCATGGAGAGCACATGACAGCCATGAATGCGATTGGCGAAGGCCTGTGTGTACAAGACCGAAGGCTGCCACCCTTCGGTCTTCTTCGCGACAAGGTGGAAGGGCAAGCCTCATGGCTGTCAGAGCAGCGGGCTATTCCTTCGTGGAGCATTCATTCGAACTATGTGTTCTTTACGTGCATACGGTTGGGGCGAGGCTACGGAAATGGCAGAGTTCGGGGGGCGGCATAAAGGGGTCCGGAAGTACTGCACGGTCGGTTGTGTGCTGCCTTTGCGTGGCAGTGGCGCCACTGCGGGCGAGGATGGCATAGTGCGGTGAGGGATTGTCAACACTGAGTACCTCGATGCTAGGCTGGTGAGCGGCTAATCGCTGGCCTGGTGTGGAGTGTCCCGAGGTGGCTTCAATGAGATGGTCATGTCGTCCGTTTGGGAGAAGGTTGTAGTGAGCCAGGAAGTCCGAGCTGGTGAATGATCCGGCGACATCAGCGATGACGGAATTTCAATGAAGGTCATGACGTAGGTTTTTGAACTAGATGTTCAGACGCAGTGAGCCCTACGTCTTGATAGTGAACTGGTTTGCCACGCTGAGTTGAAATATGTTGGTGGGTGAGGACCTTGAAGGTAGAATCGTCGGTAACAGCAAATGTCGGAAGCGCTGTCGACCAGGTCATGCTGCTTCGTAATTTAGTCTATGACAAAGATGCGATGGCCTCCATGTTGGCAGACTGCGGTCCTCTCTACCAGTGGCCGTTGGTGTTTCTCGTTGGCGTAGCAGGGTGATCAACATCGCCGGCACTGTCACCGAAGTGCATATGGTATACATTAGCACCCGCCGTGCTCAGCCGGCTGCTGTGACGAGGTGGTGTTACGGTCACCTATTTGCGAGTGATATCGCTCGTGCGTTGAAAGTCGCTCTCCGACGTGCGGCTGAATGCAGCCGAGTGGTGGGTCGATATCGTTGATACGGCGCACGAACTCCGTGGTGTTCCGGGGAATGATAGCGACAGCCTGGATAGTGGGTGACGACTGCGGCCGAAATACTTCGGTGATGAGGTCAGGGGTCAAGGCAAGTTCATTGAAAGGTAGCGGAGGTTGAGTCTGCAAAATTGCCTGGGCATGCCTGGGAAGTCGTTGAAGCCAGAAAGCTCGCAGGAAATAATCCTATACTTCCAATGTGTGCGTGAGAGTGCGCATGGGACGAAGGAGGTGTGCCGTTTTTCGCTCGGCAAGCTCTGCAGTCATAAGTTTTCACACATTCTGTCCATCTGATGTTCACAGGCGACGCATGAGGTCAGTCTCCAGGCTTTCGTAAAGATTGGCCGATGGTGGGTTGATTACAATATCCTGAACTTCCTTAGCGTAGCGGGCGTCGTGGTTGGCGACGACGTAATCATAGTGGGTCCGGTCGTGTGTTATGTCTACCAAAGAGAACTCGGCCTCAACTTAGGTAAACCGGTAAACCATACTTCGGTGTGATTGCGTCCAGAATAGTGGCAGCCTGACATTGACATGGCAGACGTCCAGGTCAACAACGGTCGTGGTAGCAGCAGTGCCTGTGCTGACAGCGACCATCAGAACGTAGCTTTGGGGGGTGTGACCTGAGTCGGGTGCCGCGGAATTATCGGATGAATGTGGTTCAGAGGTGACGCGCTGCTGCTGAAGCACCTGTTGTTTGGCCTGAAGTTGCTGTGGAACTGTCAATTGTACTTGCTCGAGCAGATCGGAGAGGGCTTCCGAGTTCGCCTTAGTTGTGCGGTTAGTTCAGTTTCCAGATCACCAGATGTGGGATGCCAAGTCGATAGAGGAACGGTTGCCTACTTGAATCGTAACATTGCTTTATTAGCCTTGTAGCAGCATGGTGGCAAACAAGCCGATACCGCGCTCGAACAGTTGGAGAACGTCTATATTTCGAGCTTGGAAGCTTGAGTTTATAGCCACCGGTGATGACGTTAGCTTTTGGTGGCACTGCGGCGGCGCTGTGCCTCATTGAAGGCGCAATTCAGCATGCGGCCGAGTCACGCTGGCTGGGCCAGTTTGTTCGCAGTGTGTCCCCACAGATGCTGCCCACAAAAGCGTCGAGCGATAATACGATACATTTGCACTGGCGCCTCTTAGTCAGCACATAAATGCCAGAAGAAATCTTCATACCACAGCAAAAACAGTCGAAAGCAACAATTAGTTTTACTCACTCTGGAGTGATCAGTCTTTATGTCAGCCACCAGTTCATGGTAAGAAATGGGGGATGATAGAGATTGGTATGTAGGGTAGAACGTCCCAAAACAACAATATGTATATGAGGGATGCCGTAGTGGAGGACTCCAGAAATTTTGACCGCCTGAGGTTCTTTAACGTGCACCCAAATCTGCGCACACTGGCCCACAGCATTTTCGCCGCTATCGGAAATGCAGCCGCCGCAGCGTGGACTTGATCCCGCAACCTGCGGGTCAGCAGCCGAGTACCTTAGCCTCTATACCACCGCGGAGGAGCAATGGGGGCGATATTGCACTAGATAAATACGCAGGATATCCAAAATATAACACTACATTACAAAAGAGAGACGTGTTGTAACGCAAAGCGAACCTAGTCCATACTGTTGCCAGTATACTGTAGTAGGCCCTACAATTTATTTTACGAGATTTAGTTAACTAGTACGAAACACGCTTTCGATTCGACAAATACTCACCTAAACATTAGTAGAGAGAGCATGTCATGGTACATACCTACGTATGTCTCATTTTATTATTTACAAGACTACTAGGAAATTTAAATTGATAGGTCGGACTTAATATTCATAGGTAATGACTTAAGCACATTAACAAAATAGTAGTTGCGGCTGCTGCAGTACACTGGTAACTATATGCACCATTTCTGCTTTGCGTAAGGATGTTTGGTTTAAAAAAAAAAGGGCAATATAACCCCAAAGGCAGGTGCCTAAGCCCACGGTGGACCGTTACTACGAAAAAACAACTGCGGCCAAATAGCGCTACGAACCAACAAAAAACACACGTTACGAAAGGGGCTATGAGAGTGAGACAGACAACAATACTCTTCATTTCCCGCTTTACTGCAGGACCATACTAGCTACAGCAATATATAACGGATTAACTAAAATACACTAATCATTACCATGCCGTTATCTGCCATCTCTGCAGCGAAAGCTGATATGAGATCACAACTAGGGACCCGCGCATTGCCGTAGTTGTCCGCCGCCGCCACCGCTTGTGTCCGTAAGCACTGTCGCATGAAATAAGCAAAAAAAAAATTAGAACCAAGAAAACACTGTGCTTTGAGCCCGGGTAGGCTGGGTGCCAGCCCAGTATTCTACCCCTGAGCTATGCCGGTGCGTGGGAATTGTTGGCAAACTTCCCTTAGGCAGGCTTGATGTCGGGAAAGCAATCGCGTTATACAACTTACAAAGCGTTTTAAAAGAGTAAAAGAACAACCAGTCGTCGCACAATGCGAACAGCGTAACAAGTGGGTCGTCCTATGCTCCAACCCATTACAAAAGCTTGTTTTTGTCCTACTAAGAACTGTGGCGCATACCCACTTCAGGCCTAATTTCTCATAGCCGTCAGCCAGTGCATGAAAAAGTGGGACAAAATTCCATGCAAGTGTTAAATGAATACCACTCTTCTAAAAATGACGAAAAATAGCATATATCAAATGCCGGCATACTACCCCAAGACCTTTATTATTACGGCCATAGTGGGTATCAAGCAAGTGTGCTTGCAGCAGCTACCCAATGAGTGTTTTGAAGAGCCTCTGAAAGGCCGCTATTTAGCTTTCACTGCGATTGTGATGCGCCTTCCGCGCAGCCTGGAGTTTCTTGTTGTGCTTGAAGCGCAAGTGTGGTGGCATTAGCAAAGTTAGCTAATCATGTGCTTGTTTCTTCCAGTGCTTTCCGTTTGTAGCTAGAACAATGGTTTGAGTGTAGGGGCCAATAATTCCTTCTTGGTTATCGCTCCATTGTTCACCTTGATACTTGTTCAACATATCTTTTAGCACGGTAACCTATATGGCCAGCTCAGTTTTTGCCTTGTTTGCCTTAGGCATCTTTTTTTTTCTGTGACGCTTGGGGCGTAGCATGAGTGCTCTTTGAATACCTGCTACTCATTAAGGCTTGATATATGGAGTATCGAGTTTTCTCGTGGTGCGTATACGGTCTACGCGTTAGTTCACAACGTATACGAGGTTTATATACCCATAATAAGTGCTTATTCATGTGTTTGTTGATGGGGTGTTCACAACTTTTGTTCGTTAACTCATTAATGTCAAACCAATTATAGCATGCTTTATTTATTGCAGCACTTGTGACAAATTTGAAGTTCCCCTATGTGTTCTTTCAACTCGGGCTAAGGATATTTTCCAAATGCTGCTAATGGCTTTATACCTACCAGCAGGACCGAGGAGGTCTCCCAATTGCAGCTTGAAGTGTTCCTCCTCCGAGGCGACCTGAAAACTGTCGTATTCAATGGCAACGCCGTCGCCTGTGTGGTTCCTTAGCAGGATTCTCAGTTCCATGCCTTCGCCCTCCTCGGTCAGGGCATGTAACGCTTTGTTACCTGTTGACCGTGATACATGAGAAAGCGTGCAAAATGTCAACAAGTGTCTGAAAGATGAAAGCCCAGTGTGCAACAAAATTTATTTAGAGATGTTCAAATTCCCTGAGGCTTGGTGGTGCATGGTTCAATACTTGAACATTGGTGTATATTTGTACCAGAATAATGTCAGCTACATCGTCTGGAGCACAAGTTTCGCCAGCTTTTACAAGAACAAAAAAACGCAATTCTGATTGAAGCATTTTCTGATCTGTAATACTAAAATCTACGCTAGATTTTCCAGAATCAAAGATAATGTACGTACGTAATACAAAAGTATTGTTTGGCAAAGCATAAGTATAAGAAATATAGAAGTCCAAGCGTACGAAACATGATTTTACTTTATATATGCTCAAGAAAAATAGACAGCACGCAAAACAAGAAAGCTGCCGAAGGTAAATGACAGAGAAAGTGCACTGACCAACTCGCTCATATACTCCCATTAACCAAATACTTCTTCATGAATGTTGCCAAAAGATTTATTTAAACTAGTCAAAAATACTTAAAACACTCGTGGAATTAATGGTAAGTTTTAACTGCAGTTATCATTGGCTCACAATTAAAATAGCCGCCTTAGCCTAATGTATTCCACGAGGCCTAGTTTGTATACATTAGCACGCTTCAAAAGCAGTTTAGTCACATGATTCTTGAAGTTGTTGTATTCTTTGAACACTTCACAACATTGTTTTAAACCATTTAGCACCAGTAATCAGATCAAACAGTGGCTAGCTCTTCTATGGTTATAGCCGCAGTTCCAACATCACTGCGTATTACATCTGCATATGTCATGTCCTCCACACTTTTGATATGAAATACGTACTCATTGTAGTAAGTTATTTGACATTATGATAATTAGAACAACAGAGCACGTTGTTAGGAAACTAAACGATTTTGTAGTAGTTGAAGAAACTGGTTAAGATAGGTTATAGCACACAGCGTTGGAAGTAATCAAATGTCAACGAAAGAATATATTTTCTGTTCAATTCTTTCAGTATTACATGCCTTGTCTATTTTTTTATATTTTCTGCATTCTAGCATATAAAAAAAAATTGTGAATAAGTGGTAATTGAGACCAGCTCTGTTTTGCTATTGTTTAGCTTGTGAAATACCAATGGTGCATCATGCAAGAACGACTGAAGGTTTGCTGTGGATGTGCGTGCTTGGAACAGAATATTTTTAATGTATTATTTCTGGTGGTGGTACTGTATTCTCCTTGTTTGCGCAAGTGAACAAAATGTATCAGTTGTGGTTCCATGCAATTCGGGTACAATTTCAGGTGCTCGCAAACACGTTTGCAAAGAGAGTGGTTACCCCTTGGTTGCTCTATGTAATTGGGGCCACATTTTTTGCACTATGATAATTTCAAATACTCCGAAAATATTCTCAAGTACAGGTTCGCAGTCCCCGGCTCGTCGACTGGTCACCAGATAATTTCCTATGTGTGTGATTGCACGTTGATATTTTTGCACTATAAAATCCCCCTTTCGTTATTACCTGTGTATTAGAGCAAGATTTTATAAAATAGCCTCGTGCAGACATCTGAAATAAAGCGGTTCACTGCCCAATGATATGCATACTTACCAATCCAGTATTCCTTAGAAGGATCACCAAAGCCCTCTGCGTATTCCGTCCAGTTCCGGTAAAAGTAGTAGGCACCGTTTCCGAACTGTCCCCGCCGCTGTATCACCTGATTATTAGAAAAGCTAAAGTTGATGATTTCGTTCCAAACTGACGGCCATAGAGCATAATGAAGCACTTGTCATGACGGCTGAACCACACTTCGTCAGTCTTAACTAGAAAATTGTTGATTGATATGTGGGGTTTAACGTCCCAAAACCACCATATAATTATGAGAGACGCCGTAGTGAAGGGCTGCGGAAATTTGGACCACCTGGGGTTCTTTAACGTGAACCTTAATCTGAGCACACGGGCCTACAACATTTCCTCCTCCATCGAAAATGCAGCCGCCACAGCCAGATTGCGAACCTGCGACCTGCGGGTCAGCAGCCGAGTACCTTAGTCACTAGACCACTCCGGCAGGGTAACTAGGAAATCGCTAACATGTGCAAAAGTCGCTTACACAATCTTCGCCATTGTGGACCTACGAAGCTGAAAAACATTTCTAATAAGCATGAACCAATAGTAACATTCGTCGGGCATCGCCAAGGTGACGATGCAATAGTGAAAGACTCCGAAAATTTTGGTAAATGTTATTTGACTTCCACCTAATTCTAAAGACCCGGGGCTCTTGCGTTTCACGGCCAATCTAATGAAGCCGCCACGGCCCCACATTGACCCCGACATCTCACCTCAAACAAAACTTCAAGTATACTGCGACTAGTATGATCTATGTGCCCTATTTTTGGTGTTGTTAAGACGTTTATTGGCGGACACACGGCGATGATACATGACAGCGAAAGTCAATGCGGAAACCGATTCTCTGCACGAGCTGCTCTTCTTCTTGCGAAGAGGGCTACCAATTAGAAGGCGCTGGAGAGGACGACCCACTGTTCGAACGCTTCGCTACAGTGTAAACAAACACATGCGCAAACGCTGCAACAACAAGACTATGTGAAAGTGCCAGTATCGTGAGTGCATGGTCGGCTTTGTTTTGTACGGGAGGCACCGGTAGGCCAAGAGTACTTGTGTATTGTTTGTGTTATATACGCGAGTTGCCGCCTTCCATCTCGCACACTATAAAACGCTGGAGTAACCTGACTAATGAAGGAGTAAAAGAAACATCTTTGGTATATATTTTTATTTCAAAGACAATTTCATCTGAATTCTTCTGTAGCCTGATAAAAGTACCTTGCCACAGTTTCTTTCTCTTTTCACTGAAACATAGAGTCGTCATTTTATGTAAGAAAACACGCCAGCGTATAGCACATAGTCTTGTCTCGCAATGTGGCAAGGCACACAGCGGTATTAAGAAAATAAAGGTACATGGCAATGTCGACTCTTCTACTTCATATATTATCACCATTATTGTATTTTATTTGACACATTGCTTGAAGTATCTAATATTTATAAGAACACTGCAGCGGAAACTGATTAAGTTCGATAGAAATTGTTGCTATGCCCACTTTGCAAGCATTAACAAAAAAAAACTAGAAGCAAATCATATTTTGTACAGGTAACACTCGCTTTGACGTGTGTTGATACAAGCACACGAGCGATGTGATAAAAGTCCTACGCGAAGAAAACTTGTTTTTTTATATATGAGGTTTAACGTTCCAAAACCAGCGTATAATTATGAGAGACGCTGCCGGGGAGGGCTCTGAAATTTTCACCACCTGGGGTTTTTTATCGAGCGCTAAACCAACTTCGCTCAGCAGATATACGACATTAGCAATCTAGATAGATGCGTGACGCTTTCGAAACAACCAAATAATGAAAAAAGATGGAATTCTGCAAAAAAGTGTAGAAAGAATAGACGGAAGGCGAGCACTCTCGTCTTTATATTTCACATTTAGCCACTGCATCGTGTCAACTGTGATACCAGTCTAATGGCGATGCACTTGCATGTTCCTTTTATTAGAAATGGTGGATGTTGCTTTCTTATGCGCATGCACCACTTTGCTGTGGTCTAACTTAGAATGCAGTGTTTTTAAGTAATAAATGGCACATTAAACAAGGCATGACTTATTCTTGTAGGAAGTCGGCTAAAGCGTAAACAGACGTGCCGCACAGTAGAGTTCAACATTATGAAAAAATGCCAGCGATGCAGAGATAGAGGAAAACGGAGACATCTGACTGAATTTCGGAAATAAAATTACAAAATACAAAAAAGAAGAAAAGTGTCACGTGGGACCAAGAACTAGAGTGGCAAACGTAAGTTATAAGTATTACTTGTTACATATAAGCACGCCACAGAAATACACAAGCTCCCACCCTTATCACACATAAAACGTTGAACGCACCGTCCAGCCTCCTCCGTCTGTTTCCATGTCACAGTAGACCACCTTTCCAGTGATGTCGTCCGCACGAAGGAAGACATTGTAGAGACCATTCGTCGTTTGACCAGAATGGAGCTGGTCTGCGCAGTTGCGTGGCCTTATGCTCTCTGCAAGCATGTCAAAGAGCTTTTCACAATACACTTGACAGTGGGGGTCTCAATCACTGTTCAAGTGAATGGTTTTGTATAACACAGCATTTCCGAAACCTCTTAATGCTAATATCTGAAAAAAAATGTTTGCTGTTCTGAAGTAGCGGTTCCCGATCACCGATTTACACTTATTAGGCATGGAAAGACGAGGGAATATAAGGGCTCATCTTTCTTTGTTAGACAAAATATTTAAGAAAAATCGCACACAAGTGTGCCAAATAAAGTATACGGGATAATATTATTAGTAAGCGTAATCTAAATGAGAAGACAGAAACATGTACCAAAAAATAAATTCCCTCTGGCAGGGACCGTTCTTGCGACCTTCTGTCTTTTGGTATAACCTGTCCCATTCCCTACAAATAGGGCTACAGCGGCGGCAATCTCCTCTTCCACTTTAACAAAAATATTTAGGGTTTTATGTCCCAAAAACAGCACATGATTATGAGAGACGTCGTAGTAGAAGGCTCTGAAAATTTTGACCGTGTACATTTTTTAGGGTGTGGTGACATCACACAGTAGATGGATCTCTACAATTTGCCTCTACAATGCCTTATATCTCTACAGTGCCTTATATAATCTCTACAATGCCTTATATAAATGCTGGTGCCTTATTTCATCGGCAATCTTCCCGTTTTTCTTTCCAGAAACTCTAGGCATCAATCTGGAGTAATTTATATATCTTAATCAAGCAGCCAGACTGCATGTAAAGTTCCAGTTTAGGCATGCATATCAAAGTTTAGAGCTTACACCACCGCCAAAGAGTCCTTTAGTACTGAAAGACTGCGATTAGGACGCCATTTTGATAGTCTTTCTATTTGAGAAGCTACATGAGGCTATACTATTTTTCACAATGAAAGCGTGGAATTCGTGCCACCATAATATACAAAACAAAAAACGAGCAGAATGACAGCCAGCTTAAGTGACACATCTTCGGTATAATTAGGAACATCGCCAGTTACCTCCATATGTGGCCATCATCAGTTGTCTTGAAGCGACAACGAGCGAAAGAAGCCTTGAAGGCTGTTGTTTCCAGCTTTTGTGTTTTTTACGCTAATATAATTACTTACGTCCAACACATTGTAGCTTCGCGTTTTTGTCTATGTTTTTGAATAAAACATAGATGTATATGTAATACTTTAAAGTTTACGAATAGCAGTGGCGCAAGACAGCATGAAGTGCGAATTAGTGTGTTAGTGCGTGAACTAAGAGGATACCACAGGTGTTCCTTTCACATACGCCACTATAGTCAACTCTTTTCTTTACCAGTGAATGTTTTTATTCCACGTGACTGATTTCGCAAATATTATACATTACAGGGAAGGCATCAACAAGTTTCCCGGGATATTGGCAAGTGGCCAAAAACAAGAAAGTGCTGATGCTCATCAGAATGATTTTAGAACTACAAGCACTGACTGCAATAACTGTTAAGGCGAAGGCCTTAAGTTCCCACTTTTACGCTGTCTTGAAAAGTGCCGCGTTCGATAAAAACGCACATGACTTAATAAAACTTTGTAGTAAACATTTATCTGAAGCTCTGCTGAGACTCAGTATTCTGCGTGACACAGGTATTCCACTAGAAAAGGCCCGAGTGCTTGAAACCACGTCTCTCGTAGGATGGTACCAAACGTATCACCATGCGAACTGTGCGTCGAGTGGGTGTTTGAGAGCTGGCAACCAGTTACAAAGTGCTGATAATTCCTAAAAACATAATAGAGTAGTAGCATCAACAAAGTGTGCCGGCTGTTAGACAACCGGTCACTACCAGGGAGTTGGCGGGTATAGGGAAAGGCAACATCAATGTCTATACTGAACTAATAAAATCGTACTCTCCCGTTCTCGTAAACTCTGAAATGGCGATGGTGATGATAAGGATGGCAATGATGCTGACTACGAGATTGATCTTCACGCGAATCCTAAAAAATTCACACTGAACGGCTTTCCCCTTCGTGTCACCGTGGCTGTATTCATCAGTTGGAAATTATTTCCTCGCTGTAGTCGAGAAGTCCTTTGAACGCTTCCATTTCTGTTTGCGTGTGTGTCATCACTACTGATGAGTATCTAAGTTTATTTAAAGAACAGTGTCGTGTTGGATGTAGAAATATCATAGCAATATTCGCACGTTTTTTTTTTGCCAGTTCAAGCATGCAACGTCCTTACTTTTAATGTCGGAGAGAATCTTCACGAGCTCGTTGACCCTCTCTTCAGCTTGTACAATCGAAGACGGCACCGCAGCAGCATGTGTTACAGGCGTGGTGCATGAAACCAGGCACGCGGCCAATATGGCAAAGCAAGAAAGGCTCCAGCTCATTCTTGTTGAAACTTAGGACCCAGACTACACCAAGTGAATTTTTGTTCAGAGCCTGCAAGGAATAGAAGTTTATCACACGCAGTTGGTACATAAGTTAGAACATGTGTCAATTAATGAATTTATGTTGGGCTAATGGGTGCATTTAAACAAGGTTCAAGAACATAGCGTAGGTCTACGAAAAATAAAGGGACGTTGCTTTTTCACTAACACACTATGTTGCCAGCGAAGCAAGCTGCATACCCTTTATACCATGTTGGTCTGCAGTGCTCGAAGTTCAGTATACTCTGGAATACTAATGGCAAAGGAACTGCAAACACCTTTTTGTTGTAACGTAGCAGGGATGTAAGGTTGTGTGTTCGCAAAAACGCCAGGCCTGTGCGGAAGGCGCAGCGCAGTCACATCTGAAGTTAGAAGAGCGGCCTTTCAGAGCCTTTTCTAAACATTCATTGGGGTAACTGCTGCAAGCACACTTGCTTGATACTCATTACGGCTATATAAATAAAATTTTAGGGGTAATAGGCCAGAATTGTAGATGTAGATGCAGATCTTAAAATTGTGGCTCAAACCTACCGTGGGGAATTGGCCAAGAATCGCATAGCTTAAGAAGAGGAAATATATATCTTTAAATACTAGCCAAAAGAATATGAAGAGAAATATTGATTTTTTGTAAATTATTCCTAATGAAAATTTTGGATGAATTAGTTTCTACTGAAGGAGCAATAAATAACTGATACCAAGAAAAAATTTGCAGCAGTGTACGTTGCTGAACTGAGGACCTCTTGGAATTGGGGTTATTGAGTAAATCTCTTCGACTGTACAATGGAATCTTGCACGGCTTCGCACACTTTTCCGTTGCTGTGGCCTAGGGTATGTGCACCTGGAGATAGTAAGTTTGGCGTTGTCAAAGCTAATCCAAGGATTCGTAACGGAATTTCCAGTGATACTTTTCTTAATGATGAAAACTTTCTACAAGAGACCAAAACGTGTTTTACAGTTTCCTTTTCTCCCCAAAAGGCACAGTGCGGAGAGGGAGTCAAACTTGCTCTAAACAAATAAAAGTTTAATTGAGAAATACGATAACATATGCGAGTGAATAAAATTTCCAGATATCGGTTATGACATGAGGAAACTTTCCAGAGTGTCAGTACATGTTTGAAGTATGGACAATTTTTTAAAGATGGTGTGGAGAATTCTGGTATCATCATTTTTCTCATTCATTTTTCGTCATTCTTCTAAGAAGCGCGGTATCCGCTAAACTACTGCGAGAAATTTTGTGCCAATTGTTCAAGCAGTGGCTGACAACGATGAGGAATCAGGTGTGAAGTGGGTATGCACCACAGATGAAAGCTGAACGAAAACAAGCTTTTGAATGTAAACATTCGACAGAATACCGTCTGGTTGGGTATGTAACTGGGATAAGGAGTCAAAATGGTTGTAGTCTAAATCATCTCCCAAACAAGTTTTTGTATATGTTGGGGCATTTCACAACCCACTCGCTACGCTACTCTCAATGTGCGACGACTGCTGGTTCTTTTGCTGTTTTAAAGCGCTTCAGAAGTCGTATCAACGCGATTACATTTCCGACATCAAGCCTGGCTGAGACAAATTTGCCAACAAATCGCAAGAACCGGCGTAGCTCAGAGGTAGAATATTGACCTGGCACCCAGCGAACGCTGGTTAAAACCCCACTGTGTTATTCACGCAAGATTTTTTTTTTATAATTTCGCATGATGTGGTTACGCACACTGGCTGTGGCAGCAGACAACTACGGCACTGAGCGAGACCCGAGTTGTGACCTCACAACAGCTTTCGCTGTAAATGTATGCGGTAAATGGACGCTTAGCCTTTGCATTTGAAATGGCCGCCTGTACGTCATGTGCAAGCCGCTAAGTGTCCTACTCCACCGATGAAGGTAATATAGGCCTCTCCCTGCCAATAAGTGCTGACTTTCTTCCCGTTTACTTGATGTCGACATCATCCCGCCCTATACACCTTGAGCACGTATGAATAACATTATAAAGATAGCTGCTCTGTCTTCAAGTCCTAAAGCCTCGATATATTATTTAGGGGCGCCTTAGTGGAGAGATTCGCAAATTGGGCCACCTGAGATTCTTTGACGTGCACCTACGTAATTGGCGCTCACATCAAGGGCGTACAAAGAATTGATGTTTTTTTGGAGGGGGGAGGAGGAAGGCGAAATTTGGGGAGGAGGGCAGCACAAGGTGGTGTTATTCAGAGTCAATTTAAAAAAGAAAAGGCCCCGTATCTGCATATTACACTGCAAATGTCGTCGAAAGCCGATAGTCTTGCCTCTGGAGAAAGTGAACAAAACGTTTGTTTGATGTTCTGCGCGAAAAAATAGGGGAATAATAGTATTCTGGAGGCGCTGCGTTAGAGTGCCTTGAGCATGCAGCGGAAGTGAATGAGCGCATCAAGTCACGTCACACGTGAGACATGAGCGCTATCTGGGAGTTATCTTCGAAAACCAAACGCGTGGCTCTAGATGGGCGTGCGCGCCCGTTTCAGAGGTTATATGCTGTAGAACGCGAGGCGATGGATAGGTGCCACCACCGTGTCGTCTTAGCGAAACGTTGGAAGCACTTGCCTTTTCGTGCAAGCGTTGTATAATCAGAACAGCGTGATGAACGCTTACGTCCTTATAATTACTTATGTAAGCCTTTTCTAGTAGAAAGAGAGAGAGAGAACTCTTTATTGAATTGCAGATAATTTAGCCGGCATGTAAAATTCGCTGACTTTCTACTTTGCGTGGGGAAGGGGATTGAGTGAAGTACAAATAAGAAAAGAGAGAGAGAGGAAAAGACAAATTGTAAGAAAGATGATATAATAAAAAGAAAAGAAAGAAAAAGGCCATCTCTGACCATTGATTGAGGACGTGCATTAAGAGTTTTTTCGTGGTATCAAGCTACAGCTACAGCTTGTCTAGCAGACCAATGCTGTCCAAGTACGCAAACAAAAGTTTCATAGCACGCCTCTTTAAAGTGGGGCAGACTAAACGTGCCAATACACAGTCAAGGGAGAAAGTTCTCACGGTTATAGAAAGCATGCAATGTTCATAAAGCGTACGCTCCTCAGCCTACGCTCTACACTCAAACAATATAACTTATATAACTTATATATAAGTTCCACAGATTAAAGACGCGCATAGAGAATATATACGTGTTGTAATGGTGCTTCAGATATGCGAAATAATTGCTTTTTAATTAACAATCGAACAAGTATGAACGGTGAAACTTGAGCAATGTTGGTGGGCGCTGCAGATGGGGTCGGCCGTTTGGGATATCGTCTGATACCGTTTAGAGTACCCAGTAGCATTAAGGGTGGACAAATAGACAAATGTGCAGACAGACAGACAGACAGACAGACAGACAGACAGACAGACAGACAGACAGACAGACAGACGGACAGACAGACAGACAGACAGACAGACAGACAGACAGACAGACAGATCACAATTTTTGCGTCGAAGGTCCCCAAGAAAGACCATCGTCTTTAACGGTCGTCTTTAAAATTGGGAGTAGGGTGGGTATATGCAAGGGCCCTGAGTATTGTTCACTGGTTACAGTGCAGATTGACACCTATGCTGACGACACCATCACAAAAACGTTGACCACCCCCTCCCCCCTGCAGACGCTACTAGGCAGCTGCATTACCATGCACAAGTCTCTATAACAGAAGAACGTCAAACCTGTTCAGAAACATTAGCTATCTGCTTGGTGTAACGATTGCTACAAGATGGTGGTTGTGGAAATATTTCTAATTACCTGACATGTATCCACACTGCGTTCTTGCATGACTCGTCTTATACGCCAGAGAACACCATGGGCAGTTATAGTGGATTAATGCATTTAAAATGTGCAATCAGCCGTTTTTTTTTGCCCATCAGATTTTTTTTACTTCTCCCCTTTTCTTTCGACCACCACAAAGCCCCATTTTGGTCTAACCTGAGTTTCTGCAAGGATGATGCCACATGAAAGTTCTAAATTGCGAAGTAATTCTTCGCTCTTACAATTTATTTGGCGCTTCTTTAACCATGCCAATTAGTGAAGTATTGAAATTGCCTTCACATGACCTAATATAGCCGCAATTACGTGAGTCATTTAACGTGACTAATGCGCCTGTACTTATGTGTGCGTTTGCTCTGTTGATCAATTCGTGTTTGTTACTTTCTTTCAATTCATTGAGAACAACTAGCGTGGTCCGCGGGAACAGTTTTTTTCACTCCAGGCATGGTTCACATGATTGTTTCAAAGAAGCACTGCCATGTGGTGTTGCTTTTTTATCTGTGGTCTTTTCTTTGACAGCATGAAAAATATCACGTCACATGCATCTTTACATAATGAATTGGTTCTTCTTTATAATATTATTAATTTTTTTTGTCCCAGTAGTGTCCTAGTGAAGGGCTTCGGAAATTTCAATCAGCTGGGGTTCTTTACCGTGCTCCTAAATCTGAGCAGGTGGGCTTCAAGCATTTTCACCTCAATTCAAAGAACTTTCTTTGCATTCCTCTTCAACGTAGCAGAACACACTTGGCCCTAAAGTTATCTGTCGTTTTCAACGTTGCTAATTTAACAATTGAAAAGTGTGCAAGAAATAGTCTAAAGCTGCATCAGTGCAAACCATACTGCGTTAGTTACACTAAGCCGATGTTAACCGTTTTATGTATAGTATTGGAGGAATATAATAATATTTTTATGAACCGTATGATGACTTCACAGCGTGAACAAGCGACGTACTCACAATTATATTAGTCCCCAAACGCTGTCGCATTTTGTCGTACGCAAAACGCATTTTCTTAAATCACTACACGCGCCGCGGTAATATAGTGGTTATGGAGCTCGAATGCCTATACAAAAGTCGCGTGAAGGAACGATGGCTGCACCGGCAACTTCACACTAGAGACTAAAAAGTTTGTAGCACATGCGCTTCTATTTAGAGGCGCGTTATTGAACCCCAGGTGGTCGAAATCTGGAACAGTCTTGTACTCTGGCCCAGAAAATCTTGTGCTTAATTTAGGAAACTAAAGCTCGACAGAATTTTATTAGTGGAGTGAAGATCAGACAGATTTAAAACAAAGCGTACATTTAGTTTACGATAGCGATTGTTATTGTCAACGCTGTCGTCATTATGGTACCAAACGCAAGTTGCAAGATAGCTTACCTGAAATAACGTGATGAGGCTTGAGTTTTGTGTAAAACAGCCGGCTGCAGTTTTGACACTCCGAGGCCACAGCGGACTGGGTCGGAAGCACACGCTCTCTGGCACGTGTTAAGAGCTTTCCCGCCAAAAGCTACTGACGACCTTAGGAAGCTCGCCTGTACTGTACGCTCCCCTGATGAGGTCAGCGAATGCGGCCTTGGAAAACCCGCCCGCAACGGCGCAGCATGGCATCCACCCCAAAGAGACACACTGATTGCACGTTTCGAAAACCAGTGGGAGAGAGACTGGCAGGCAAATAAGTTCGCTGAGTATCATCCTCTTGCCGGCCGAGTGGTCGCTTGACGTGCCTCCTCAGAGTAGCCGGACATCGGCCGGCTTAGGGGAATGCCCGAGGTGTTTCGCCTGGTGGTCGCAACAGCGCACAGTCGTCTCACGACCAAGGAAAAGCCGGCTGATCGCTCGGTTACGAGGAAAGGAGAGGTCGTTAAGGGCATACAAGCAATGTCAGAAAAGAAAATGCTGATGCGAAAGAAGGCCAAACAGATAGGTAAATGCTGCTCTGGTACGAATGGTAGCGAGGGGGTACGTAGTTTGCATTTGTTGGTTTGTTTGTTTGTTTGTATGTTTGTCTGTTTAAGTGCAGAGGAGAGATGCTTGAAGTAAATAATGGTTATAAAGACCAAGCTTCTAAGAAACTTCGTGGCGGTTCCATCCGTCTCATGGTGAGTTGAAATTCAGTTTCGTGGAAATTTATGCACTGTAAACTAGTAACTGCTCAATGCATTTGCAATGCAGGTGTCATTCTTTAAGTACACTCAAACTAGTAATTCTGCAGCACTGTGCATTTGACATCAGTCATTTCAGGAAGAGCTTGAACGTTTATAACTAGATGCTGACGACGGCAACAACTTTACCTCGAAAAAAAAATAGCCATTAGTGTGTTGACATTATTCAATTTGCATATTTTATTTTGAGGTAGGAAGAAAAAATCCTCAGTGAGTACCACAAAAATATAAAAATATAGCAGGCGATTGCACTTAGAAAAGAAAAATGAACAGGTCAGAGCCAAGCGAAATTCGGAAGGGTAACATCGATGAGCAGGAGAAGTGGACTCCATCTCAAATGAAACCACGAAAAAAGTTTTCGAATGCTATTCTTGCTGGTAAACACATGTACTGTCGAGTTCAATCTTCTATTGGCGAGTACTTACTTCTCTTAGGTGAGCTTCAAGGAAACCCTTAAAAAAGTTCAATAGAGTGATAGTTTGTGGAACTTAAATAGTTATATAGCAACTTGTAATTAGAAGCTAAAGAATACAGCACCTACTGAAATGAAATTTGGAATCCTTTATTTGCATATCAGACTATTTGACTGCGAACTTCTTTTTATTAAGCATGTATTAAAAAAGACACTAATCTTTTGCTGTACTTGTGTACTGAGAAGTGCATGATTCATTAATGAAGTCACTGTGTGCAAGCTCTCATAAGTACTGTCTGAAAACACACTCTGCTTGGCGGGGAAGTACTTCACTTTTCCCACGCAAATCAGTGCTTTTTTTTTCGCTGAAATTCTCCTTGAAAAAAGCTACTTCGTCTTTCTGTTCATTTTCTGAGCTAAATTCCCACTACAAGCTCTTTTGTAGGCAGAGCAGTTCCTATCTTAGAGCGGAAGTCAAAGATGACATAGCGCTGTCTTTCAGACCATTTTCTGACCAATGTTACGTGCAGCACTCCAGATGGTGTAGCGAAATATGTTCGTACGACTCAAATAAATCTGGAATAATTTTGCTGAATGAAACCTTTTAGCATTGTGTCCAATGGTGCTTGTTGGGGGAGGGGGATTTAGAAAGAAATGGTACAAAAAATAGTTTGTTTATTTGAGATTCACTGAAATAGTGTAATACTGCTTTTTTCCGGAAAATCATATACAGACAACTGCGGTCAGCCATCAGTAAAATGTGTTTTGGAACAAGATTTACGTGTTGGGTAGAAGGGGAGTTTATACAAACATCTAGATTATTTCATGTAAATGCGGCAGTACTTCAAGCTATCAATTAAGTGATCGTTATTCCTTCCGTCCTGTATTAAAATGTAGATATCTTTGTCCGTTGTGAGGACTATATAACCTTCTTACTAAAAATACAGGGCATTATACCGCAGTGCAGGTTCATTCAAATCCTCAACAGCGCGATAAACTTATTTCGATCATTTTCATAATTTAGATGAATTCTCCAGAAGTACGGTAGAACACATATACAGAGAAAGATATTCCGAAATGCTGATATCGCAATACACGTACTTTAAGGCTAAATACACACGCTGTGCAACATTTGTTTGTGATGTGATGGAATATTTTGAAAGTATTTTTGCTGAAAGCCGAAGGGGTGCCTCGAAATACTAATATAGAAATACAAGAAGTAGGTACTGAAATACTTTAGGTTGCGATCGCCAGAAAATATAGTTTATGGGCATCTTAGCATTTTTAATAATGTTGCAGTGCATCAAAACGTGCAAGTCACCCACTTGTCTCGAATCGAAACGCTCACCAGTGAGTTCAGGTAAGGTACACGTCAAGAGTACACCCATCGCATGTTTTTTGAGCGCTTTATTGTGTTCCAGTAACAGTTGCTCCTCAAGTAGGCTGTCTTTCAATCCTCCAAAACTTAAATTTTTTGCCACTGTAGACTAGTAGAAGTTCATTTTGTCGAAATAAATACCAAAATAACATGAAGAAAAGTTGGACGTGCTGCACAGGCCTTGACACAGATGTATTGTGGGGAACTCTGCCCTTTTCATTTTGTCCTTAGTGGCGTTGGGTGCCTCACCACATGAGTCATTTTGTTCGTATGCAGAACCCAACCCCACCTTTTTTGTTTGGCCGACCGGTGGTCTACCGTTGCTTGGTGTAGGAAAGAAAAATCTTTCGTTTTTCCTCCCAACACATCAGCTTCATCTGGACAAAAAAATTTACGAGGTACCCATCTGCGGTATACTATTGCGATGAATTTTTATATAACAAATTCACTTCGCAACAAGATATATTAGATATTTTTTTCAAAAGTTTCTCAATACACAATACTGATATTCAATGGCATATCTGAAATAGTATCGTTACTATAGTCGTATATCGTGATACTTTTCGATGATGATTGATTTGTGGGGTTTAACGTCCCAAAACCACCAGCCCTCGTGATACTTTTCGAACCAACCCAGAAGTTATTATAGTGAATTTCATTGCGGGTGATATGAATACACTGATCAACTGTTTGTTTCATGCAAACTAAGGGTTGATGAAAAACATGTAGTCAATCACTGCGCGACATTTATGTTGCACTAAACCATGCTTTGTTCTTGTTGTAATATACAGTGCCCTTAACAGCTGATGTATCAAGCCAGGCAGTGAAGCCCTGAGATAGCTGCCTAAATGGCTATTGAGGTGCCATGTAAATATTAGGGATAACTTTCCCTCGTAAAATGCTTTCACACCTTGAATCATTGATAGCACTACAGTGCTGAATCAATTAACTGAAAAAACTAACTTAGTATTGCCTAAATAACTGCTGGCACATTATGCTATTTCTGAAATAAAGAGATGTCTTTTACTGCCTTACCTATTTTATTTGACCATAGACTCACCTATACATAAACTTGGAGGCGTGTAGCATTGTCATTGAATCGAAACAACACAACACGCAGTTTGGCAAGCTCGTTTCTTTGCATATTTAAATATAATAATACAAAATAAAGTCACATTCGTTCTACCTATAGTCTACCATAACGATGGTGGAGATAAAAATGCCAGATTTTGGCACTCTAAGTCAGCCGGAACCAGTTTCGTTTCTTTTTATCATATTTATAGGAGACGCCTGTCATGTCAATCCACCATTCAGAATGAGAAACCAGCAAGTCCTTGCAGTATATATAAAAAAACCAAATTAAATGAAGGTAATACACATGATTTTACTTTTCAGTGAGGGCTGAGTCCGTAAAAGCAAGGGTTCAAGTTGATACCAGAACAATATCCAGAGTTCCTGAAACACCTAGAAGAATCTGGCGTCAAGCGTCAGTGCAAGGGGGTCATGACGTTGTGAAATGCAATTCATGGAAAGAGCAATTGTCGCTAAGGAATGACAGCCCCAACTGCCAGATATATGAATTAGTTTCACGTATTTATTTCGTTCTGTTAGTAATTATTTTTATTCTCCGGAATTCGAATTCAGTAGATTTGGCTTCTTTCTTCAATTATTTACATCTATTATGCGAAGCTTAACCTTATTATATGTCTTGTCCATCGATTCCTTTACTGAAACAGCTCGACTTCTATAATGAAGTATTTGTTGTACACTCTCAATTATTTACTGACCCACCGTAATACGAAGTGCATTGCTAAGATGAATCAAGGAGGGTGAATGATGCAGACAATTATAACAAAGCCGATTACCAGAAGATCAAAAAAAAAGAACTTTGCTGCAGGGGAATCAAGGAGGGTGAACAATGCAGGCAATTATAACAAAGCCAATTACCAGAAGATCAAACAAAAAGAGCTTTGCTGCAGAGTTTCTTCATAACTATTGTTACGGGATATGATTCCGTTGGGAATTCGGCACGGCAGGTCAATTTCTATTTTGCAGCGTTCTTACGACTGTCGGTTTTGTCACACACCTCTCGCATCTTTTCTTTGCGTTGGTTCCAGCTTGTGAGTTCTTCGTTGTTTTCATACCATACCTTGGCCATGCCTCTCAAGTAAAACAGCTCATTATCCAACTGAAGTGTGAGGTCTCATCTGTTCGGCACACTCACTCGTTCGAACATGGCCAAGCAATCGCCCACGTCGATGCCATCGGTCCCGCAGAATGTACCGGGATCCTTAAGTGGCGTGAAAACGTATGGTTGCGACGCCGTCTTCGTCGGAGACGCTGACGTTGATGCGGAGGGCTCAGCATTGGCCATGGCTGGAAAACCGATGCGACGTCCGCTGCGGAGCTCCGTTGCCTGTTGGTTACCCAGCACCTCTCACCAATATGTTAGGCGGTCGGTGACTTCTGTACAAAAAGCTTTTACAGAGGAAAAGCCACAGGCAAGAGTCACAATGGCTGATTGGCATGCTCGTGCACTTGTCTTGTCTTGTCTTGTCTTCTAGGAGATCTTGGCTCATACCCACATGGGGGATTGGCCACACTGTACCTCATAATAGATCATTTTTTACAACGCTTGCTAAAAAAATAAAGAGAAATTCTCAGCTGACTGTGTCGTTCTTCTTCCTTTACTTCATTTCCGTAACAATATAGGGCGCATTAGCTAAATGAGCCGAAATGTAAGAAAGAAAAACTGGAACAACTCGTACAATATTTTTGCCTATGATGAAGTTTCTGAACTTCATCATGGCTGATTGGCATGCTCGTGCACTTGTCTTGTCTTGTCTTGTC